GTTTAGGGGTTTAGGGTTTAGGGGTTTAGGGTTTAGGGTTTAGGGGTTTAGGGGTCTTGGGCTTTGGGGTTTAGGGGTTTAGGGTTTAGGGGTTTAGGGGTTTAGGGTTTAGGGGTTTCAAGGCTCCTTAGCCAAGTAAAGCCCAAGTAAAACAGCAACCAGCCGCAAGAGAAGCTAGCAGCAAAAACAGGACCCACAGATCGTAAATCCCCCTTAGAAACCCTACAATCCCAAACCCACCAAAGGATCCAGAAGAAGTTCCCCCAAGGCCACAAGAATCCCTAAACCCTAAACCCTAAGACCCTAAACCCGAAACAAAAAGACCCCAAGACCCTAAGCCCTCAACCCTAAACCTTAAACCCGAAACAAAAAACCTTAAACCCTATAAACCCTAAACCCCAACATCCCTAAATCCTAAACCCTAAACCCGAAACCAAAAAAACTAAGACCCTATAAACCCTAAACCCCTAAACCCCACAAGAACACTAAACCAAGAAAGACCCCAAAGAGGAGCTCTTCACTTCCGGCTACATCCGCGATGCCGACGTCGACCGCGACTGGGTTCTTGTTAAAGGATTTAACTTAAGTTACCATAATAAGGAAACCATATTATTTACGGTAGAAATCTATCGTAAATAATATGGTTTCCTTAGTATGGTAACTTAACAAAAATCCCCTAAAACAAGAGCCCAGTAAACCCTAAGCCTAAACCCCAATATGGTTTCCTTAGTATGGTAACTTAAATTAAGTCCCTTAGCAAGACCCAGGCGACGGCATCCTGGCGACCTTTGGTCCGGCGGCCGGGAGTTTCCAGGACTGCCCGATGCAGAGGCCCTTTGGGGATGTTCAGGGGCTTTGGGTTTAGGGAGTTTAGGGAGTTTAGGGTTTAGGGGTGTTAGGGTTTAAGGGTTCAGGGTTTAGGGGTTTAGGGGTTTAGGGGTCACATGCTTTAGGGTACCCTGTGAGGGTTCTGGAGGTGAGGGTTTAGGATGGTATGGGCTTTTTGGTAAGGGGTGTGAAAAAAGGGTGCTAGATGGTTTGGTGTTAAGGGGTTAGGCCCCGGTTAGGCCTCTTGAAGGCATCTATAAGGTTACGAAAAGAGCTCTCCGTAAGGGTTGTACAGTGAGTTTCGGCTTGGGGATTAGGGTTTAGCCTGTTTAGCGTTTTAACGCTTAGGTTATTTTGATCTTGCAAGGTGGCTGACTGCCGGGCTTCAAGCGGGTTTTGGGCTTGACAGTGTTTCAGAAAGACATGGTGTGGTGGTTTGTGGAGTCTTTTTTTCCTTGGGCTTCCGAAACACCAAGTGTATGTACAAAGTGGACATAGGCGTCCTTGCATTCGCAGGCCACGACTCGAAAAAAGGTCCTTTGGGGGATAAATGAATTGCGGACAGTGTTTATGCAGACATTGCACTGCAAAGCGAGCTGCTGCATGATGTGGCATCATCCCGCATTGTCTTGCCTTGTGGCCTTGTTTTCCTAGTTTCGTAGTCTCAGCTCGTGTCGTGTCGGTTTGTACCACGGTTCAATGCGTTCGTAAGGCACCTTGTGCATGGACTCCCCCATGCTTGTGATGATGCGTGGATCTGTGGTCAGAGTCAAGATCAGTGCTTCTTCTAGGAATTTCCAAGGGCGGCTAAGTGCATCTGTGCCTTGAGTCGGACTCGTAGTCATTTCCGCTCGGTTCTGCTAGTGACAGGCAGCAAATGCAAGGAGGCAGAGGGCAGCCATCAGCAAGGGATAAAGTGTCCATTTTGTCCAGGCCTGGCTTCAACATCGAGTGCAACGATGGCAACAAGGCTCGTTGGGGCTTCTGCCTCAACTGTGCCAGCCAGGGTTGCCAGAATGACGACGGCAACGACGCCGACGCAGCCATCGGCATCGGAATCGCAGGACAGAGCACCGACACCGAGCTGGGAGGAGGTTGGACCGCGTGCCGTGGCTGCAATGTACATGCTGTCCATGCTTTGCAGCTGTCGCACGAAGAGCATGGACCAGACTGCCAAAGTCGGCTCACAGGTACTTCGCCTCCGGAAAAGGCACGTGCAGTGCGAACAGCAAGACCTTCAAGTCCGCTTGGGTGTGGGTCAGCTCCGGCAAGACACTCGGCCGTTGTTTTTGGAAAGGGGTTGCTTCCCATGACAGAGGCCTTGGATCCCGAAGTCCAACAGCAAAGGAAGGCCAGGAAGCCCTTAGGCCGAGAGACCCTGATCCCTAAGGCGTGACGACCCTAAGCTCTAAACCCCATTATAAACCCCATTATAAACCCTAACCCCCATTATAAACCGTAAACCCCACTATAAACCCCCCAGAAAACCCCATTATAAACCCCCCCCGAAAACCCTAAACCGTGAACCAAGGACCTCCAAGCCGGCACAAGACGTGGCCCTCGCCGGGGACTTCGCCGCCATCGCCCACGGCGACACGGAGAAGTTCCTCAAAGAGTGCAGCGCGGCTTTGGCGCCGGCCAAGTGCATGAAGGCGGCCCTTTGGGGTTGGGGCCGGGGTCCTTTAGGGTTTAGGGCTTAGGG